AATTTGTAACCCAGACTAGCCTCAGTCTCATGGCAGTTCTCCTACCTCACTCTCCCTAGTGCTGGAATCACAGGCATGTGGCACCATGTCCAGCCTGTAAGAAATTTTTTAATAAAAACTTTGCATTGTAAAAAACAACAAAATAAAGCCACTGTCAATGTCAGAAGACAAATGACAACTAGGAAGAAAATATTTTAATGTATCCTTAACCAAACATAAACTCATGCTTGGTGGAAAATGATCACATGACAAGACCATTTATTTCACTTAAAAATAAACAAGCAAGGGTTGGCCAAATAGCTCAGCAGATTAAAGCACCTGCAAGCAGGAGCAGGGGCTGGAGTTCAATCCTTGGGCCTGCCATACCGGGCCCCGCCCCCAGGGTGTGCTGAGTTAGCAATTGAGACTGGGTGTGGTGATGTATTCCTGTAATCCCAGCATTTGGGAGGCTGTAAACAGGAGAATCACTATGAGTCTGATCTAGTAGTGAGACTCTGGACACCCTGTAGACCCTTCCCCAAGATACAGGGAAAAAAATTAAGCAGATGAACATAGTGATACATGCCTGTAATCCTAGCTACTTGGGTATCTGAGGCAGGAAGATGGAAAGTTTGAGATCAGCCTAGGAAACAGAATGAGAACCTGTCTCAATTTTAAAGAGTTAAAAAAGCACCACAGTGCAGCTCAGTAGTAGAGCAGATGGTTAACATGAGCAAGGCCTTGGGTTCAATCCCGGTACCCACCACCCCTAAAACGTGAATGCTTAAATTACTGTTTTCATGCTAAATTTTGACAATTCTTTTTCCTTTTTTAATGGATGCTTTTACTAGTAGCACTCATAAAAGATTAAAATTAAGTCTCTGGGTTTAATCTTTAGTACCACTTTTTTAAAAGAAGTAAAACATTCACACAGTGGTCCTTAAATCCTCTATACAAATATTTAATCTTACCTATCATAAAAGAAATTCAAATTAAAGTTACATTAAGATTAAAAAAAAGCTATATGGAAATATATCAATCTCTCACCTGTTGAATTAATAACTATCAGTAGAAAAGTGAACAGCATACACTAAACATGAGACTGTGGAGTTACAAGCATACCTGCCTCTTGGTAGTTATGCAGTATAGTAAAAATGGAGAATTTTTAAAGATTTAAACAGCTCAGTGTAGGACTTACAAGAATTGGCTCTGGAACTGTACCCTCATCAGTATTAAAATACATTTGCAAAAAGCTTTTGTTTTGTTTCTGAAACAGAATCTCACTATGTAGCCCAAGCTGGCCTTGAACTCACTGTGACCCTCCACTGGCTCAGTCTTCTAAGTGCTGGGAGTACAGGTGTGTGCCACCACATCAAGTTCCAGAAGGCTGATTCATTTGTGTTTTCAACATTTGTGTTTTGCAACATTACTCATTAGTATTAAATATGGGAATACCTAAATGCCCAGACATAAGTTAGTAATTTAATAAGCTGTGATATACTGTGGAGATCTATGTAGCTGTAAAAGGGAATAAAGAAACTCTTAACAGGTAATATAGAATATTTCCAGGATATCCTGTTGGGGGAAGAAATAAACATGCAGGAAAAAAAAATGTGTGTGTGTGTGTGTGTGTGTGTGTGTGTGTATTTTTTACATTCAGTATATGAAAGATGGGGAAGTGAGAATATATACATGTATATAGTTATTTTTGCAAAAAGAAGTACAGGAAAGATGTGCCAATACTTAAGGAGAGTAGTTTACCCCTATAATTGCTGATAGTGGTGGCATGACTTTTTAACATAGGAGGGACCTATGTTGTATTATTTAAATGCACATTGTAACCCTACCAAAGCAGGGAAGGGGAACTTATCCATATAATGGCATTTATAGTGGTGCAAGACAGCAGATTTGTTGCTTTGTTTTTTAGAGTGATATTGAGGACTGAACTCAGGGCTTTACAGGTGGTAGGGTTTTTTGCTTTTGCTTTTGCTTTTTTTTTTTTGGCATCAGTTATGGGGGGGAGATAAAGAGTCATACTGTATAGCTCAAGCCAGCCTTAGACTCACTGGATAACCTAGGTCGCTGGTAGTGACCTTTCTATAGGCTTTA